CCCAGTGAAAAAATTCTGAAGATCTGTTTCACAACAGTGTCAATATACACAACACTGCTCAAGTATACACTTAAAAACAGTTAAGACGGTAAGTTTTGTGTTCTGTGTTTTTTACCACAATTAAAATTGCAAAAAAAAAACTTTAGAAGAAAGGAAAATTATGACCAGTTTTCTTCATGAATACAGATGCAAAAGTCAACAAAATACTAGCCAACTGAATCCAGCAACATGTGAAAAAGGATTGTACATCATGACCAAGGTTGGTTCAATGGTGATATACCATATTACGAGAATAAAGGTGTGAAAACTACATAATCATCTCAGTAGATGAAGAGAAAGCATTTGACAAAATCCAGTACTCTTTCTTGGTAAAAACACTCAACAGGTTATGACTAGAAGGGAACTGCCTCAACCTGAAAAAGGTATCTACAAAAAACCCACAGCTATCATCATAGTTAATGTTGAAAGCTTTTCCCCTTCGATCAGGAATAAGACAAGGATGTCTGCTTTCACCACTTCTATTCAATATTGTGTTAGAGTTTCTAGCTAGAGTAATTAGACAAGAAAACAAAACTAAAATCATCCAGACTAGAAAAAAAGTAAAACTATTTCTGTTTGCACATGGTATGGTCTTATATATAGAAAATCCTTAGGAGTCCACAGAAAAAGTATGTTAGCTAGAAAACAAGCTTAGCAAGGTTACAGGATACAAGAACTAGGAATAAATGGGGAATGTACAATCCAAAAATGAAAGTTAAAAAAGTGATTTCATTTTACAGTAGCATCAGAAAGAATAAAATACTTAGGAGGAATATGTTTAACCAAAAAAGGTGTAAGATTTGTGTACTGAAAACTACAATACAGCAAAAGAATTTAAGAAGGCCTCAGTAGATGAGAGGGCCTTCCATGTTTCTGAATTAGAAGACTTACTTAATATTGCTATGATGGCAGTCCTACCCAAATTGCTCTTCATATTCAATGAAAATTCTAACCAAAATTCTAACTGCCTTTTATGGGACCTGGAATAGTCAAAAACACTCTAAAGAACAAAAACATTGGAGGACAATTTCAAAACCTGCTTCGAAGCTCTAGTAATCAAGACAGTGTGATAACTGGCATAAGCATAGACATAAATGAGTGAAACAGAATTGAGATTCAGAAATAAATCCATATATCTATGATGAGTTTATTTTCGACACGGGGCAAAGTTAATACAAGGAGAAAGAATAATCTTTCAACCAGTGATGCTAGAAGAACTGAATATCCACATGTAAAAAATGAACTCTGATCCCTACCTCATGCTATGTACAAAAATTAATTCACAACGGATCAAATACCTAAATGTAACAGCTGAAACTATAAAACTCTTAGAAGAAAACATAGGGATAAGTTTTCATGACCTTGGATGTTGCAGTGGATTCTTAGAAGTGACACCATCAGGACAAGCATCAAAAGAAAGATAAATTAGACTATCAAAATTAAAAACTTGTGTACATCAAAGAACACTATCAAGAAAGTGAAAAGACAACCTGCAGAATGGGAGAAGGTATTTGCAAATCACATGTATGATAAGCCTTTGTATCCAGAATGTATAAACTGCTTTTACAAGTCAACAACAAAAAGCTAATCTTTTTTTTTTTCTTAAGTGGGCAAGGGACTTGAATTGTATATTTTCCCTGGAGAAATGTCTGATAGCCAATAAGCACATTAAAAGATGCTACACATCATTAGTCATTAGGGCTATGTAAATAAAAATCACCATGAGGTACCACTTCACATCCACTAGGATGGCTATAATTTTTTAAAAAGGAAGGGGTAGAATGTGGAGTAATTGGAACCCTTATACATTACTGATGGGAAGGTGAAGTGCTGCAGCTGCTGTGAAAAACAGTTTGGCAGTTCCTCAAAAAGTTTAACAGAGTTACCATATGACCCAACATTTCCACTCCTGAATACATGCTCAAGAGAATTGAAAACATATGTTCACACAAAATCTTGTACATGAATGTGCATAAGAACATTATTTATAATAGCCAAACAGTGAAAACAGCCCAGATGTCCATCAACTTATGAATGGATAAAATGTAATAAATCTACCCATTGGAATAGTAGTCAGCTATAAACTGGAATTAAATACTGATACATGCTATAACCTGAACAACATGAATGAACCTTGAAAACATTATGCTAAGTGAAAGAAGCCAAACACATATTGTATGATTCCATTTATATGAGATGTCCAGAATAGGCAGTTCCATACACACAGAAGGTTAGATTAGCAGTTGTCAGGGTCTGGGGACAGGGAAGAATGAGTAGTGACTGCTAGTGGGTGTGGAGTTTCTTTGGGGGTGATGAAAATGTCCCAGAACCAAATAGTGGTAGTGGTTGCACAGCCTCACGAATATACTGAAAACTACTGAATTGTATGCTTTAAATGGTGACTTCTGTAGTGTTTGAATTATATTTCAGTTTTTTTAGAAGTCAAAAAAGTCAAGCTCGACAATTGCGTTAGTTGGTGGAGATACTAACCATACCATCCTGAAGACGAGAGAAGAAACACTGTAAGGTGTTTGGGCCTAAAAACAAAGAATTCAATAATCATTATCACAAGAACTAGAATTCATTGAAGTGTATCCTAGAACTGGAAGCCCATCTAACTTGTGACATGGACCACTATCTGACTTCAGATCTAGTCTTTATAACTCTTCTAAAAACAAAGGGATAAAGAGTAAAAAGAAAGCCTCTAGGGTAACCACCTTAGAAGCAGAAAGGAGCCTTTTTGGAACTGTTCCTCTTCTGGCCTGAGTCAGAAGGGACCGGTTAAAAGGCAAGGGGATTGTTCCATGAAAGGGGAGGTTAACATTCTTGAAACACAAATCTTTTCCATATATTACTTCTTCAAATATACAGCTGTGCTGGAATGTTGATTCCCCTCAGGGCAGCAGAGCAGGGTCTGGGCTACACATCCACTGCCCCGGGGGTCTCCCTTTTAACCCTGCTGTGTGTAGTACGAATGTTTCCCTTTCCTGTGTGTGTCATGAAATGAAATGGTTAGGGAAGAAGCACTGCTCTTAGGGTCATCTCTTTAAGGTTCTCCCCACCTGCCTTATCGTCATGTACTGATCGCCCTTAATTGTCATTGCCCCTCTTAAAATATGTCAGCTACTTTTCAGAGAGCTATACAGCAGTTCCCAAATGCACCTAGCTAGGAAACAACAAGGTTAATTTGGTGTAGTTATATTTTTATAGGGAGAGAATGCATAATTGTTATATTTTTATTTCCAACATACTTACAAATCAAATATTAAATAATCCAAGATGGAATTTTGTTAGCGATCGATGTCAAACCTTATTGGATTATAAATTCCAGAAATAAGCTTTTGCCTACTTTTAAAAATCTTTGCTCTTCTGACATCTCTGTACTTACTAATAATTTTGAGAAGGTTATAACTAATGACGCCAGGTCATTTCTGCAGGTTCTTTCAACATTAGACTTCCTCGCAGATAAGAATACACTTAAAGGGTCTTCCAGTACCCTCACATTATTCTCTGACTTAACTGGGACCTATGAAACATGCTAACAATTATTTTATAAGCTGTTTAGAGCAAGAAAACAGATAGGAAACCTTGATGAGGTTGAGATGATGTGAGCAGATAACAGAGAATGTCTATGTATGTATCTATCACTTTGTTTTCACGCTGACTAGAATGTCAGTCTTCCCATTTGAAATGGGTAGAATACGTCTTACTTTAGATGCGACTTTTAACTTGTTTTCTTTTAATGGATACTTTACCATCTGAATTGTGATCAGGTGTAGGTTAGTTTGTAGGGTTTTTTTTGTAGGTTAGTTTCTGTTGGTCTTGGCTGGGAAATATATTTTGCTAGGAATATATTTTGACTGGATAGTTCTACTTTTTGGCTTAGTGAATTAAAGAACATCTCCAAATTGTTGACCTAATTTCCTAAACGTAAGTAGAGGTAACACTTTATACCTTTAAAAAATTCAACTGGGGGCTTCCCTGGCGGCGCAGTGGTTGGGAGTCTGCCTGCTGATGCAGGGGACACAGGTTCGTGCCCCGGTCCGGGAAGATCCCACATGCCGCGGAGCGGCTGGTCCCATGAGCCATGGCCGCTGAGCCTGCATGTCCGGAGCCTGTGCGCCGCAACGGGAGAGGCCACAACAGTGGGAGGCCTGCGTACTGCAAAAAAAAAAAAAAAAAAAAATTCAATTGCTGGGTTTTGTTTTTGGTTTAGTATTGATAACTTTTAAGGTTTGGGAATATAGTTTTGTTTCACAAATTGGTTCATGTTTATCATGTCTACAACCTTATTTTGACTCATTTTGGGTGTCCATTCTAGATTGATTCTTATATTTTAGTGATGTTCAGCCTTAATGAATGAATTAGTACTGCTAACGAAATGCAAAAAATCAAGGCATGTACAACATTGTTTTACCAGTAAAGTACTGCCACAGCCCATCAGACACTGACTGGGCATATTTCTCCCCAACCAAGAGTTCATACTACATGACTTCTAGTTGGTGGGGATCTTGTGGCCTAACTGGCTTCTCTCTGTTGAACCCGAAGTCTCCTCAGAGCCCCATTTGAAATCACTGCTTTAAAAAAAAAAAAAAAATTTTATGTTTGACAGTTTTTTTAATACGCCTCTTTCAAAAGTGACAAAATATTTTATATGCTTTTTGTAACTTTATTTTCAATTAAACTCATGATATATTCTTTACCAAAAGGTTTAGAGGAATGCAGATTGCGTGTTTGCAAGGATTTTCCTAGTACATATGATGGTACATGATATTCTTGAAGAATATCATCTAAGTACCTAAGAATTAGGAACATTTTTACTCACAAGTACTAAAGAGCTCTAAATTGAAACATTTTCAGAATACATCTTGAAAATACTCACAATGATAGTGGAAATGACACCTGTAGTGTTATTAAAAGCGAGGTAAAATATTTTCATTAGTAATCTTTATTTCCTTTAGGGTTTAATGAAGAAATTCATTCGGTGTTCTACACGTGTAACTGTGGGGACGATTAAAAAATTTCTAAGTTTAAAACTAAAACTTCCAAGTTCTTATGAGGTAAGTTAATAATCTAATCTTGATCATTTTGATAATTCTAATCTGAAGTAAAATTCTAATAAATTAATTTTGTGGAAACTTTGGTTACTTTCATGTTAAAAATTTTTGGAATGTAATATTCTATTTGTGTAATCCGTGTTTTGGAATTTAACGTCCTGACTAAAACATGATACTAATAAACCTAACGTTTTGTAATTAGAGGAGATATTTAAATAACATTAAGTATTCTTTTTTTTTTTTTTTTTTTTTTTTTTTTTTCTGGCGTTATGCGGGCCTCTCACTGTCGTGGCCTCTCCCATTTGCGGAGCACAGGCTCCGGACGCGCAGGCTCAGTGGCCATGGCTCACGGGCCCAGCCGCTCCGCGGCATGTGGGATCTTCCCGAAACGGGGCACGAACCCGCGTCTCCTGCATCGGCAGGCGGACTCTCAAGCACTGCGCCACCAGGGAAGCCCACATTAAGTATTCTTGAAATAAATATCCCAGCTAAATGGATACTTTTTTTTTTTAATGCCAGCATGCTTTATGGTATGTCTTTTTCTTTCAATCTGAGACCTTTCAATCCATTTTAATGAATTCTTTATAGACTTCTTTTTCAGAATGTAAAACAGTCTTTTTATCAAAGGGATTTTGTAATGTTCATTTAGTTCTGTAACGTGCAAAAATGATATTTGCTTAGACCTAAGTAAAACCAACATCCTGCATCTGTATACATGTAGTCTACTAGTTTCTTACAGAAGTCAGTTGCCCTGATGTTGATCACAGTACAGCTTATAATGTGTGCAGTGTTAGAGAATGTTTATGACCCTATAGCTCTGGCTGTCCCTTACAAGGAGATGCGGCTACCATGTCTCACCTGCCCAAACGGCAGTCTTGCAACTTGTATGAATTTCCTCTTCCTCCCCTTTGAGTTCCTCTAGTCCCATCTACAACAACTAAAGATCGAGGCTAGCTTCCAGTATAAACAGAGACATCAAAGGAAAAATAGTTTTTCAGTCTTATGTACAATAGTATTCATATGAACAGTCATAGTAGAAATTAAACAGGGTTTGAACATAGGTATTGACAAGTATTGTCTGTATTTTGAGGAAACCTCTGAACCTGACCTTATTTTAAAATGTCTTGCAGATGACTAATTAATCTATGGATTAAGAATTAATTCTTATGTGTTTGGTCCTATAAAAAAATTTCCAGAGATAGTAACTTTTATATTAGGAAAAAAATTGTGAATGTTAAAGCCATATGTACTTGATAAAAGTAAAAGAAAAAAAAAAGATTTATAGATATTAACACAGTGAAATAGAAAATGAAATTGTTTTTATAATTTGGTTTTGCTCTTTATTCTCTTCTTGCAAAAATACCACTTGCAGTTTTATTTCCTTACTTTCAAGTGTGACTCATTGAGTTATTTTCTAGTTTTCAGGAAGTTGTTAGAGCTGAGAGAACTGTTACTCTCATACAGTTTACCGCTGGCACTTACTACATACATTTATCTGTAGACTTTTCTATAGAAAGGATGGAAGGGGGAGAAACTGAATTCACTGACATCTCCTTATCTATCCCAATGCAAAGAACTTTCCCTATGATTTTTAGTAATATTTACTGTTCCCCCCTTATTTTGCTGCCCCACATGTACGGGGATGATTTAATGACATTCCTAACAGCTGAAGCGTCTGTAACAGCACTGGTAGCTGGGGCAGGATGGTTTGGTTTTCAAATGACAATAATGGAAGCTGCGTACCTAGTTGGGAATTACATCCTAAGTAAGTCCCTTTACCTCTTTGCTTATGAATTTATTTTACAGGCAAGATAAAGAAAATAAAACTATCTACTTTGTTCTTTTAAAAGTAAAATGGTGTCTGAAAGACATTCTGAGGTCCATTTAAGTCACCATAAATCATCCAAAAATCAATATAATTTAGCTAATAATTTATCAGTACAATTGGAACGATACTCATTTTAGACTTAAAGTTCAAAACTCCAGTCTCTGTCTAGCCAGACAAGAATTATTTAAAAGCCATTCTTCTTCCTCCTTTCCATACTTTAAACCCTATCAGTTTGCTTTTAATCTCTAGAGAACCGAAATGTTTTATTTATAGGGATCTATAATAAATGCTTGTTTAATGATGCTTTGTTGAACTCGTAAATCATAGCCACAGCTCCTGTGGCCTTGCTAAGGACTGGGGGCAGCAGGGGTTGTTGGGTGGCTGCAGCTCTAGAGCAAAAGTGAGCACTGATAAGTATGACCCTTTTTTGAAGTTCCATACAAGGTGGGAAGACAGCCTGGTAAATATTATGCAGGTTACCAGCTAAGCAGAGCAGAGAGGTGGAGAGCCCTGGGAGATGCAGGCCTGTGGCCTGGTCCTAATTGTTCTGTCAGCTTGAATGCCTTGAAGCCCCCCAAAATCATGTATCCATATCCATTCATTTACCCGCTGCAAATATAAACTAATGCAGAGGAGGAAAGCAGCTCCTTCAAATGAGAGATGAATTCATAAGCCAAATGTGCCATGAGGAATTATAAGGTTTCCACAATTTCTTCTCATTCAGTAAGAAATCACAGAAATATGTCTAAATCTCAAAGGCTGCACAGAGACACAGACTCTTAAGAAAGTTCACGTTGCGTTTCAAAATTAGCTGATGAACTTGAGATAGAGGTATGTGGGACAAGACAGACAGTGATTCATGTTAATTATATCTGAATTGTTAATACCTGTGAGATGAGGCCGTGCTTTTAATAGAAAGATCCAGTGTTCTTCTCAAATAATGGACACTACTTCTATTTTGATATAAGTATTTGAATCTTTTTTGAAATTTGGGGGAAAAAATGTAAAACACTTATGAATTGAGAATTATTTATGTTAATGGATCTGTAACTATTCTTTTTCAAGTTGGATGTGCTGTGCAATGGTGAAATTATGGGGAAGGATCATACTATGGAGTTCATCTACATGACAAGATGGCGACTAAGAGGCGAAAACGTAAATTGCTTTTATATACCTACGTGTATATTTAGTTCTTTACCATTATGTTATTCAAATTTAACAGTTACTTAGACACGTTATTTAAAAAAAAAAAAAAAAACTAGCTTGGGAAAGAAGAAACTGGTTCCTCTTATTGTTTCTCAGCTACTCCATGATAGTTGGTCCCAAGTACAAGGCCGAGATCTGTGTTAGATGTGGTTTTGTTATATTTAAGGTAAGTTTAAAACATCAGTTTGAATATGTTCAGAACTCAGCTAACCTAGAGACGGAGGAGATAGCACTTAGATTTTTTTAAACCCCAGTAAATTATGGGAACTTTTAAGCTCTGCCCTGACTAGTATGTTTAATGGTTAAGATATTTTTTGTTTGTGGTAGAGGAAACAGATAGGGTAGAATCTAGATAATCTTTTTTTCAGGTACCGCCTTTACATTGCAAGTATAAAATCGGACCGAAGGGTAAGTGAGTTTGCAGTGGTTTCTGATGCCAGAATTAGATTGCCGTGCCTTAAGGCCCCAGGCAATATGGGAGAGATGATTAAAAGGAGGAAACTAAGAAAATTTTTTTAAAAACCCAAAAGGAGTTTGTATTTTGAACTGTATCTTTGATGAGGGTTAATTAGAAGGTTCAAGTGTATCTTATCTGAGTTATATGTGACATTGATGTTAGGGAAATTTGAGGGGCTAGGGATTATAAGGCTGATATGTAGCAGTCAGGGATACAGTAGTAATTATGAAAAACACAAAATTAAGAGATGCAGCCTCACACAATTACAGTGGCTCAAAAACATACTTATGTTGAATGTAAACATCTATGGAACTTTTTTTTTTTCCAGAAGAACTGTCTTGGTATATGATACAATAATAAATGAAGCACGTAACTTCTTAATTTGGAATTTTTTTCTATTAACATCCCACTTGGATGACGCCTTCCTTGTGAGGCTGAGTTCTCGTGACCAGGAGGAATAAGTTATGTTCTAGTCCCAGCCACCTACTGGTTGTGTGCCTTGAGGAACTCATGAAACCTCTCTAGGGCTCCTTTTTTTAAATTCTAATTGTCTTTGTATTTGGTAAATTACTACTTGCCTATGACATTTTATATATTTTTTAATGGTTCTACATACATCACTCTCATTTAATCCATCTAACCAGAATGTTTTGGGTACCAAGTGCCGATTACAGAGGTAGTCAGTTCTCTTGCCTGGCCCTGCTGGGGCCTAAATATTGTGTTATTACACATAATAGTAATACCACAATATTGGTATAATTTTAGCTTTCTTTGATAGTTCATTGGACACTTCTGTATGTGTTAGTGCTTGATATCATCATCATGAATAGGTTTGCCTTAAGATTGAAGAGCTGTAACTCATCATCCACTGCAGGACATCTACTGATACTCATTTGTCCTTCACCGGATCCCTTCCCAAAGGTCTCCCACCCTGCCAGTTATTTTAATGTCAAAGCATGAAAGAGCTAATTCATAGAAATTGTTATTAATGAAGAGAAACCAGTCTTTGCTACAGTTATGCTTCTGATTACACATTTCCGAATAGTTTAAATTCCCTGGTTAAGGCATATTTTAATAAAAATTGGTTCAAAAAACTGGTTTAGTACCTTATTTTTATTCAGGTAAAAACAACCAATAAATAGAAAACAGTGCCACATTTCATACTTAGTACAGCAGTGGAGAAGCAGCCCACTTCCTTGTTGCGGCGCACGACAGCCCTGCTTCTTCTTTGTTCTCCTCATCTAAACCTGTCTCTCCCTCAGCCTTCACATTCTCATCAGTTCCAAGATTAATAGTTCCACTTTTCCGGTTTCTCAGACCCACATCCCTAAAGTCAGTCCTGACTAGTTTCATCCATCCTTAGCAAATTCTTTGACCTCTACCGTCAAAATACAGTAATGAGAATCCAGTCACATCTTATCACCTCCTCTTCTGTCACTCTGGTCCAAGCCACTGCCGCTCCTCTCCAGACTTTCTATAAAAGTCTCTTAACTGGGCTCCATGCTTCTACTCTTTTTTTTTTTTTTTTTTTAACTTCTTGAATTTCTCACAGCTATGTGTTTTAGTTTTAGTTTTTGTTTTTTTTTACATCTTTATTGGAGTATAATTGCTTTACAGTGGTGTGTTAGTTGCTGCTGTATAACAACGTGAATCAGCTGTACCTATACATACATCCCCATATCTCCTCCCTCTTGCGTCTCCCTCCCACCCTCCCTATCCCATGCTTCTACTCTTGCTGCCACCTGTGCCCCCTCCCATCTTTACCCAACACAGCAGCCAGAGTGACCCTCTTAACACAAGTTAGAACATGTCGCTTCTGTGCTCTAAGGTATCCCGTACCATCTAATGGCTTTTAGGTAAAAGCCAAAGTCCTTCCAGGGGCCTATAGATGGTGGACCCCACACAGTTTTCCCCAAAGACATCTTTGCTCTTACCCTTTGCTCCCTCCTTCTCACTTCACTGGCCTCTGTGTTTGTTTCCTCTAACGTGCCAGGCTTGCCCTTGCCTCCCCAAATATCCACCTAACTTGTACCCTTTGCCCCCTTCACTCAGAGAATTTTGCTTCTACATCCCCTCCTCAGTGAGGCCTCTGACTTCCGTTTATAGTCCAACCCCTCTCCTGATCTGGCACTCTTAACCCCTTGTCATGCCTTGCCATTCTTCACAGTATTTCATACCGTCACTATGCCTCTTCTGTATGTTTATTGTTTGTCCCCAACTAAAATGTAGCCTGAGGGCAGGGATGATTATTTGTTCACTGCTCAGTCTCCAGCACCTAAAGCAGGGCCTAGTACCGATACTAGTAAGTATTTGTTTGAAGAGTAAATTGAATGAAAGTTTCGTCTTTTATAAGGTAGTAGTTAGGCAAAATATAGCTTAAAGGTCATTTTGTTTATTTCAGTCTGTTTCCCATTTGTTTTCTGTTAAACAAATTCTAAATTTTTGCTTGTGTTCCAGTTAATTAGGAGTTATTATAATTGATGAATTCTGACAGTTGGAGTGAATGGACAAACTAACAATAAAACAATTCTTTCTTGATTAAGCCCCTTCCAGCATATTTATTGCAGTCACATCCTTTCCCATCTCTACCCTTCATTGCCAGCAAGATGCCAGATTGTCTGAAAAGCTCTCGTTACTGTCTCTACTGGCACTGCTAACTGGCTCTGTCTTGGGCTGGGGTCGGCATATTTCCTAAACTGATGACCGCCTTATGGTTCTTTCACTTACTTCTGGTACTTTTTTACATTAAACATTTTAATCTACCTGGGATTTGTTAATTTGCACACACACACCTACAACAAGGCTAAGACTCTAAAACTTATTCTAAGAATCTTTTGCCAGAAATACAATTTATTGAATAAGTCATACTTTGCCTCATTGTTTTGAGATGTCACCATTATCTGTGCATATGTATCTAGACATATGTGTACACATGCAGATGTGTATATCTGTGTTCCTGGACATTGTTTTGTTCTTCTGAGTAGGGCTTAATCCTACACCAGCATATCACATTATAGCTTTTATAAAAATCTGATCACATAACACCCCTATCTAAAACTCCTCAATTGTCCATTTTCTTTGGGGTATATTTAAATAAAGTCCAAACTAACTTAAAAGGAAAACAGTTGGGCCTTCTAGTTTACTTTATGATGTCTATCAGCATCTGTTAGGAAAAAGCTCATTATTTTTTTTTTTTTAATTGTGTTGGCTAGTTTTCCCCCTTTATTGTTTAGGTGAGCTTGAGAATGGCATTGTGACTGGCATTGGATTAAATTTCTTGATTGACTTGGCTGGCATTTGCAGTCTTTTATTCTGCTTGGTGCTGCGGGGTGCCCTCTGAAGTTCTGGACTCTTCTCTGTGTCTCTGAGTCTGTGGTTTTCTTCCCTCTTCATGTTGGATGCCACCTCTGCCTTTCTGGGTCTCTTGCCTCAGGCAGGATCCCCCTTATTCGGATCACCTCTTGGCCTTGTCCTCTTGCTAGACTCCTGAGGGGAACCTCCGGGAGTCAGTTTTGCCTCCACTCCTCAGGAGCAGGACATTTCTGCCTGTGCCACACAGCATCTGGGCCACTCCTCCCCTTTATATCCTGGGATGGTTTCACTTCAGGCTCAGCCTGCTTTCTGTCTTCTGTGCTCTTTCTGGATCCTTGTCTTCATTGTGATGTTTTTTTTTTTTTTTTTTTTTTTTTTGCAGTACGCGGGCCTCTCACTGCTGTGGCCTCTCCCGTTGCGGAGCACAGGCTCCGGACGCGCAGGCTCAGCGGCCATGGCTCACGGGCCCAGCCGCTCCGCTGCGTGTGGGATCTTCCCGGACCGGGGCACGAACCCGTGTCCCCTGCATCAGCAGGCGGACTCTCAGCCACTGCGCCACCAGGGAAGCGCATTGTGATGCATTTTTGAAAGACTTTTATCTTTAGGAATCAAATATCCAGTCAAACTTAGCTAAGTCCCAGAAATTTTTCAGTTCATAACAGTATTCGCACCTCAAGATTGGTGTTCATCTTTTGCTTATTCGTGGGAGAAAATGTACCTTTTTTTAAACCATTGCTTCTCAAACTTTAATGCAAATCACAAAACACCTGGGGAATCTTGGTAAAATACAGATTCTGATTCAGTAGTTCTGGGGTGAGGACAGAAATTCTGCATTTCTGACAAGCTCCCAGGCGTTGTCTGTGCACCTGATATTTGGGGCCACCAGTTGAGTAAGATGATTTTAGGGGACATGGATCCATGACCACTGACCTGCCATGTAGTTTCCACATCCGTAAATTGAGGTGTAGAATTGAAGAATTAGACCTCAGTTTGGAAGGGACTTATTCGCCAATCTAATTACATGGATTCTGTTTATAATATCCATGCAGTGTTCATCACATTTTTGAAACATAAATGGGATCATATGTATTGTTTTGCAGCTTCTTTTTCTCATTTGTTAATACGTCTTGTGGAGAATCAGTAAATTTTAAAATAATTATTTGTAACAAGTTGATAGTATTCCACTTGTGTGGCTGTAGCATAATTTGATTAAGATACTCGTTTGATTTGACTCGTTTAGATTTTTTTCAAATATCTTGACATTACAAACAATGCTGTATTCCAGTGTATATATTTTTGCACATGTGGAAGCATATTTATTGGCTAAATTCCAGATGTGGGTTTACAGCAGAGTATGCATGTTTTAAAAATTGTCCTCTAAAAAGTTTTTAGCAGTTTATAGTCGTACCAATAATGTGTGAGTGCCCATTTTCTGATACCCTCACCAACACTTCATATTTTCAATTTTGTACTTCTTGTGTGAAGTTTCTTTCCATATCCATTGCCCCTTTTTTCCATTGTGAACTTTTATCTTTTTCTTACCGACTCCTAGGAGCTCTTTATGTATTCTGGATATTCATCTTTTATTATGTATTTTGCAGCTATTTCCTCCCTGTTGTATCAGGCTGCATAGTTTTGCCTCAGTTTTTTGGTCCTTAAAATTGGGGTAATAATACCTATCTTGAAAAATTTTAGGAAGAATGAAATATTATATAATAAAGTACTTAGCAGAGTGCCAGACATAATAAATGTTATTTTATTAATAGCTTATGTATGTTTGCTTTCATTATTATTATAATTCTCTCCTCCTACACTTAGTCTCATGTCTGCAAGCTAACTGTTAATATCTCTGTCTCTTCAGCCTCAGTTTTCACCATGAACTCATGTTCTTCCTGCTTACCTTTCCTTGGGTAGGTTGAGTACCTACTCTCAGGATTCCCCCTTTTCCCAGATAATCCTGGTTGGTTTTATCTCTTCCAACAACCCCTGCCAGTCCCTACCTAAAGTTACTGCACCACGTTTGCCTTGCTTTGCTTTCTTTGCATTACCAAGCAATTTTAGGAAAAGCAAACGTCTACCTCGACTGATACCAAAGAGATTAATAGGAAACAAAACAAAAACAAAAGCAAAACAGTGAAATTTGCCTCTTTCTACCCTCTTTACTTGTTAAATTTGGGACTTGCATAGTTAGGCAAAGTCTGGTAGGCCGCAGTGTGGGGAGTCTTCGGAGAGAAGGGGGAAGGTTGTCAACGCTAGCAGTGCTGGGTGTGTCTTACAGCATATTGATGAGCCCAGTACAGAAATTCAAGGACTAACTTCTAGGGAAAAAATTGCTAAAGTCTTTCAGGAAATGGAAAATATCTAAAATTTTATTTTAAAAGCTACCAGTATATTTGTTTTAATAATTGCTTATTTAAATATTCTTCCAAAGTATATTTTAAAAACCTGCTCTGGGATGTTAGATTTATCCTGGTTAATTTGTATCTCACATTTTTTTTTTTTTTTTGCGGTACGCGGGCCTCTCATTGCTGTGGCCTCTCCCGCTGCGGAGCACAGGCTCCGGACGCGCAGGCTCAGCGGCCATGGCTCACGGGCCCAGCCGCTCCGCGGCGTGTGGGATCTTCCCAGACCGGGGTACGAACCCGTGTCCCCTGCATCGGCAGGCGGACTCTCAGCCACTGCGCCACCAGGGAAGCCCCATATTTTTAATCATTTTTTTTCTGTTTTGAAGAAGCACACGATGTTGAATTCATATATGCATAATTTTAAAGTGCGTTATGTTTCATAATTCCATTACGGTTCAAATGTTTATGCTTAATAAGGGTTCAGGATAATATTGAAAAATCAAGATTTGGGAATGATTTTTTTAATATGAATGGTTAACCGTTAAAAGATGGTAGATTTAGAAATGAATCTACTCACTAGTTTAAAAATATGTTAATTCATTGATTTACTCATAAAACATTTGAGTGGCTGCTATGTGCCAGTTCTGTGCCTTAGCTCTTAAGATTGCAAATATGAGTAAGATTCAGACTCAAAGAGCTCACAATCTAATGCTATTAAAATAGTTATGGAGACTAAGAGTCTAATCGGAGGAATATAAAGAACCTAATCTAAAACAGAACGTGGATCACTTACAGGCTGAGGCAAGTTCCCTGCCCCTCTCAGAGCTCTGAGATCCTCAAACAGTGTTCCCTCTCCGGGTGGTTGAAGAGATCTAGGAGAGATTACTCACAGGAAAAGTTGGAAGAAAGAGGGCGCCCCTCCTAGATTGAGAAGGCGAGGGTTTTCTCGAGGGAATTTAGTATTTGAAGAGGAGATCGAAAGGATAGGTCACCGTTTTGGTAAATATTTGCAGAATATTAACAAAACTCGTATCTAGAGACTAAAATAATTTCAAGCTAAAACTTACCAGTCACTAAGTTATTAAAGACTTTTTCCAAAAACAACTACCATATTTTGGAAAGTGTTTACTTAATCATGTTGACTCATGTTTGACGTTAAAATATTTTAAATATGTATCCAGTTGTGGATGCCTCTTATCTGATGAGTTCATCTCCTCCGCAGTTTCGGTGTCTGAACTGCTCAGCTTCGCAAGTCTGCCCTCAGGATGGCCCTTTGTATCAGGTAAGAGGCACTCACGACTGTACATAAGACCCTCTGATGCCTGCCTGCCACAAAGGTGACTGCTTTCACCCCAAACTCAAGTTCCTAAGACATGTAACTTGGCAAAACTAAGACTTACTTGAGCTACAAAACTTCATCTTTTCCACTTATATCCCCAAAGTTTCCCATTATTTTAGTTCTCTTGAATTATCTTTTTAATTTTGCCAAACTAAAAATGAAGTTATAAATGTTAAGGCCATTATTTATGCGTCAGGAATTGTTAATAATTACCGGTTTCAGCCCATGAGAAATCTCTGCTCCATATTGGATCTCTGCTCTATACTTAACACTTCTTTGTGTGTGTGTGTTTTTAATTAATCATTCACCCACAAGTGAAAGATAAAATGCCAGATTAGGTGAAGCTAAATAACAGCAACAGCTCAATGCAGTTGTGAGCTTGCTTACTAGGCCCTGTCCTAAGGACTGTACTTGAGTTGCCCCTTCTAGCGCAGAAGTGATAGTGAACTGATTTAGTAATTCACTGGGCAAACGTGAACATACCTGAGAAAAGTTTATCTAATATAAGTACATTTTAAAAATTTGGAAAACAGAAGAGACTAAGTGTAGAATAGTAAGGATTACTGTTGAGTATAGAGATGATCTATGATCAACCTTAATCCAAGGATTAACCATGGCATTTCTTAAAAATCTCCATTGTTCTTTTATCCCAGAAATTAAAGTAGTCTTCATAATTATTTCCTTGGAGCCAAGAAAGGAGAATTGTAATTACATAACAAACTTAACTAGCAAACTTTCCTCTGATGTTGCAATTTTAGGGTTGGGACAAATAAATATATGCTAAGTATTAGAAGAAGCCACTTCAAATCGAAAATGTTAAATTAGCATTTTATCTAGAATTTCCCTCAGTCTCATTGTCAGTGCTGTGATTGTGGAAATCCCCACACTGTCATTAAAATGTGTGTTTCTTAATACACACTTTTTAAGTCCTGTTGTTTTTAGTAATGGAGTAAGCACATTTAGCAACTATAAAGGCCAGTAGAAAATCATTTAGAGAAAAAAAACCATCCTCCTTATATTATGCAATTGAGGGTGAGGGGTGAGTAAATAATATAAGTGAGCTGGTGAGATATGCGTAGATGTTTCAGCTGACTTTAGCTTCACGGCTGATTTTGAGATGAATTGTAGTGATGCTCCTGCCTTTAGTTATAACTCATACATACATGGCTTTTTGCTTTTACTCTTGGCACTGATGTCTATTTATTTCCTGAGAAATAAAGATATTCTTAAACTCTGATCTAAAGTTTTAGAGAACTAGAATAAGACCAAATTTTCAAAAATCCACACACACTTCCTTTTCTAACTTCAACACTTCATTCATTATAGAGTGTAGTCCTGTCAGAACATCTTTAGCCAAAAATCACCTAGAAAATTTCAAGGAAAATATTATCACTATTATAAGAAAGTATTATTATATGTGTAGCTTTATACTATTAAATTTTTTAATTTTGTGAAAATTTCATGAAATAGACAGTTTTCTAGGAAAATAATAGTGGACCAACATTCACCCAAGAAGAAAATGTAAATCACTAAATTATGGAAGACATAAAAAAAATTAAATTACAGATACCTAAATATAAAACTACTTTTAATGGTCACGTTCTCTCATATTTTCAAGGAATAGATCATTCTCATTCTAAATTGGTTTAAGTCATTGAAAAAGATGGAATTTTTCCAAATTCATTTTACAAAGGTAACATCGTGAAAGCAAAAACTGACGGAGAACCTGCAGTTAGTATCAAATCTTATTTTGAAGATAAAAGCAAAGATGATAAAAACATACTAAATATACTAAAACAATATGCTAGAAGAGTAATAAACCAAGACCAAGTAGTATTTTTATCAGAAATGCAAGAATGGCTTCATGCTGGGGAGAGGGAAATTATATATATATTATCTCCTAAAAACACTAAGTCAAATAAATACTAGTAGATGCTGAAAAGGCATTTGATAAAATTTGATAAAAGGCATTTGATAAAATAATTTTCCCTGCAAGCTTCTTCTTTTGAAAATTTTCAAAACAGCAACAAAGTTGATGTAATACAAAGGAGTATCATTTACTTTTACTTAGATTTACCAATTAACATTTTGCTACAGTTTTTGCCCCCCTTTCCCTTTCTTCCTCTTCTCCTTATCTCGTTAATCTCTTTATAAATATATCTATTGTTTCTTTACGGAGCCACTTGAAATTAAATTGCACGTATCATGACAGTTGACCTCTAAATACTTCAGCATATGTTTCCTAAGATCAAAGACCTCCTCATATGTAACCACAATCCCACTTTGCGCACAAGAAATTTAGTACGTTAAATATTATACTGATGTCAGTTCTTCCCATAATTAAATTATGAAGTTTAATATAGTTTCAAACACATTTTTACCAGATTCTTGTTCAACTTGACAAAGTCAGTCATTCTAAAGTTCATCAGGAAATATAACTTGGTGCCCTCTGGTCAGTCCCATTTTTAAATGAGTGATCACGGGGCACATTCATGGCCACCTACTGAAATGTATTTTAAAGCCGAAGTAATTAAAATCTGGTACTATCTTAAACATAGACACATGAATAAAAAGAATAGCTCAGGAAGATGAATCTATCAAGAGTATTTCAAATTAGTGGAGGGTAAAAAGATTAACAAATATCTATTGAGCCCTTAATTATGCACTGGGCAATCTTCTAGGCCCTGGGAACACAGAAGTAAAAATGAAAAAAATTCATTTCCTTCATGGAGCCTATACTTTAATGATAACAGATGAAAGATAAGTGAGTAAAATTTATAGTGTTAGAAGAAAAATTAAAGTAGATAAATAGAATATTTTAGATAAGATAGCCAAGGGAAGACCTCTTTGAGTTGGGGATTTTTGATCAAAAAGAAGTGAGAGTAAGAGCTGTGCGTCTATCTGGGGTAGGGCCCTCTAGGCCGAGGGCACGCAGTGCAAAGATCCAGAGATGTGGTCGTGTCTGGTGGTTTGAGGGCTGCAAGGCGGCCAAGGGCCTGGAGCAGAGACAGTAGTTGACCGGGTATCGGGGAACTTGGAGCATAGATGTTGGGGTGGGATGTGATCTAGTAGGGTTTGTTTTCAGTTAATTGTCCTGAGACATTTGGCGGTGGTGATGGGGTGGGGGGGATTCAATCCATACCTCCCATCATAGGTGTTTTTCATGGCTAAAATGGTACACATTAAAAATGATACCATCAAAGATCAGGAAGAGAATATAGCTAACTAACCTCAGAGTGAGGATGGCCTTTCTCATTGTACTTGTAAAAGGAAAGAAAACAAACCAAGTTGACTACTAATACTGAAAAGTACATGGCAAAAATACCGTAAATAAGGAATATTTGCAATATATGACAGAAAGATTTGCTGCCCTAATACGTTAAAGAATCCATACAAATCTGTAGGACGGAGTTCACGTTTCCATAGAAAAATGAACAAAAGACATGATAAGACAAATCACAAAAGAAGGAAACACAACTGGCTGGTATAAAGATGGTTTACTTATTTAGAAGTCAAAATGGAAGCAGAAATAAAATACTATTTTATGCGTTTTAAATTTCCAAATTAAGAGAGAGGAAAGGAATAGTACTCATTATTGATGAGGCTACTGAAGAATGAGCACTCATATTTCTTTCAGAAATGTAAAAATAGAACAACTTTCTTAAAGTCCAGTGTGATAGCATTTACCAAAAAGCCTTTTAAAATGCTTACGCTGTCTGAATCAGCAGTCCTACTTCTAGGAACCAACCCCTAAGGGTGCAGGGGAGATAGGGTGGGGAGTGGGGAATAGATCATTGGGTCACAATAAATTTATAATAGCAAAAAAAAAGAAATAAACTAAAATATGCAGTAAAAGATTTGTTGATAATTTATTGTACATTTCTATAAAGGTATATGTAGCCTTTAAAAATGATCATGTATGACCATATTAAATACTGTAGAAATAAGTTTATGGAATTTTTTTAATGGACAGAATTCTTTTATGGACAAAATTATTTACCAAACAATATGTGTAGTGTGATTCCAGTTTTAAAAAGAAAAATAATGTAGACAAAAAGACTAGATGGATGTACATTAAAATGACTGTGGTGGTTATCTTTGGGTGTGGGATTTAAATGATTTTTTTTTCTTGGTTGCTTTCTATATTTTCTAAATCTAAAACCAAGTTACTTTTATGGTAAATTATTTTTTAAGAAAAATAGTACATCAACCAGTCAATTTTTATCATTTTCTAAAATTATCACATTTGAAATATATATACTTTGGAAGTATGGATTCTTTTAGTAAATGATGAGACCGAGGACTGGCAGTCTCCACTCAGCGTAGTCCCATAATACTAAGAGGAGTGATAGGCCACATTTCATTACAGTGCGTGCAGTGCCATTTTACTTCAGAAGGCAAACTGAAACACAAATAGGACTTAAAGTATACCTTAACCATTTCCAGTTTTGTAACACCAACAATTCTTCAACTTCACGTTGTCATAGGACACACACACACACACACACACACACACACACACACACACACACACACACACACACACACACACACACACACACACACAAATGGTTACTTGGAGGAGAAGAGAAAACCATTTTCAGCCAAAAACTGAGAAAATCCCAACCACTGACAACCAAGCCATTTTACTTCCCTCTCTTCCTACATCCTCGTAGAATTGGTGATGGATTCTTCTGTGCATGATGAATGGATTTTTGAACGAGGGACTTAATTATTTGCAGAAAGTATGCAGATTCAACAGGAATGGAAAGCAAAGCTAGAAAGATTATAATAATGAGAGGCAAGCTCTGGGTTGGGTCAGGTAGGATGGGAAGTAGGTTAGGTTAATACGATGTCTAGGTGGCAGTCTCCCAACTCTGCCTGAACTTCAGAAAACCTAGGGAGTTTTGTAAAATACGGATTTCTGTGTCCCACTCACAGATATTCTGATTCAGAGGGAACAGAAAAAAGTTTAAATGAAAACAAGGAAGCGGGCTTCCTTGGTGGCGCAGTGGTTGAGAGTCCGCCTGCCGATGCAGGGGACCCGGGTTCGTGCCCCGCTCTGGGAAGATCCCACGTGCCACGGAGCGGCTGGGCCCGTGAGCCTTGGCCGCTGAGCCTGCGCATCCGGAGCCTGTGCTCCGCAACAGGAGAGGGCACAGCAGTGAGAGGCCCGCGTACCACCAAAAAAAAAAAAAAAAAAAAAAAAAAATGAAGCAAAATTTAACCACAATAGATTTAGACCATGGAAACCCTGAGAGACTGTGACTTTTACTCCAGTCCTCAGAAAACTGTAGGGCATCACCTTACTTCTTAAGCTGGGAACAGCAAGATCTAGGAATTTTCATTCCTACCCTCCAGTCCAACTCTGAGCTGAATGGTGAGAGAGACTTCCCAGGATGTAGCATAGCGATGATACCTACAGAAACAGTCATTTTCAGGGCTCTGGAATCTCAGGCTACCACTTTTGTCTGTAGGAAAGAAAGACAGGATTTTTGCATTCACCTACACAGAGACAAGGGGGGAAACAAGTCAGTAGCCATCTCAGCCCTTTCTTGTTTTCATAAAAATAGCTCCTGGTAATTTCATTTTAAAAAGGGGAATCTGCACCTTTAAGAAAAGGAAAACCATTGTTTCTTCAGACCCTTTCTGACTTTGATGTTTGAGTTCTATGTGATATGACAAAACAGGGGGTAAAAAAGACACAGAAGTAGCAGTGTGGCTTTTACCACAGGAAGCTGTTTCCTCTCTAGTGCTGTATGTTGATGTATGATACCTTCCCTACGTAGAGCAAAACAGAAGGACAGTCTGAACCATTCCGTTATGTAATGGTTAAGTCCAAATATTTAGTAGTATCAACTATTGAAAGGAGGCGGTTTCGTCTAACAATTAGTTACTTGTTTTTCAACATTTTTTAAATGACAGTTTTAAATCCTAAAAAGAAGTGTCAAAGTTAAGATGTGTGATTTCTAAACACCATCCCAGTTTTCCTAGATTCATAGCAGGAGGTCTCTGTTAATTCGTGACTCAATGGGCTCTCAAAAACAGCAGCCCTGACGGAGTCCAGCCTGCGGGCTTGTCTTGTTCAGCTCCACAGGTGAATGCAGGTGAGAGCTTTCCATCCTCCACACAGGCCCTGCCTCGCCCTAAGTATTAACATAAGTACTATTCACATATGCAAGCAGTATGACATCTGCGGGCCTTCCAGCTTGACCTTTGTTGCCAGTTATGGAAAACTTGACTGATTCTAGAAAATAGTAGCCGTTTAAAAATGCAGTCTTAATGATAATTACAACCTTAATTGTCGTAATCACCAGGAAATACTGTAAGCTATAACTGCACGTTCTTAAAGTCTTTTATGTATAATCTATATTGTTTTTATATCAACAGTCTTATTCATCATCTGTTTTTATTTTATAGTCATACCCCATGGTATTGCAGTATCGACCAAGAATTGATTTTGGTTAGACCACGGGGCCTAGATCCCACTGAATGAATCCTGCACTACGTGTTTACTCATCGACAGACTGCACAGTGAACGGTGTGTGGACTGGAGGGACACAACCAGATTTTCAGCATGCGAATAAGGCCATTGTCTGTCTCTAAATTGTCAGTTGCATTTTTGTTGTTTCTATTAAGAGCAAACCAAGTGCCATTCTGCTACTGAACCATCTGCATAAGGTATCTGTGCTGTCTCACAGTGTACAAGTCATGGTTGAAGTCAGTTAGGTGTGCAGCCACGATCCAGCCTTCTGAATATTTTGCTTGCCTGTTCCAAGACTGTTCTGTTTGATTACACTAGTAATATGGCTCAATCTTTGTGGTGTTGCAGTTTTCACATACTTACTATTTGATTAATTCTTGTTTAAATAGAGTACTGTACAAGGAACTAATAATTATTATATCTTGAAATTATTTTGTATGGGAAATATATTTAGAAAAGTGGTCCTTGAGCCACTGTCCTGTTCTCAATAAGCTTTTTGTGTGCAAAATAGTTCACTCTTGAGTGTGCAAGTCCTTTGGGGAAGAATTCCAGTTGTTCTTTACATTAGAGCACATTATAATTGTAGGCATTTTGAGTCATCTGTCTGTGTAGTCTACCAGTCGCACAGGGAGGGCCTGTTCACCCTCCAGAAAACGTACGTGACTTCTTGGAGAGCTGAAGTGAGATTCACAACCATTTGAAATGTTGGCAGCTGATCACATTTACTTCTAACAAAATTAATGTGTAAGTGAGGTTAATCTTTCATAATGCCTTATGACGAGCGGGTGCTGCCTCTTGAAATGTCATCGCCTTCATGTAGCCCACTTTATGTGTGCATTGTTATACTGTGGCTCTTATCTAATGAAGTACATTGGTTCCCTTTTCAGTTGGCCTTAGGTGTGTGTCACTGTGGCATGCAGAAGGTTATGATGATTTAAGTATTAGGATTTTTAGAGCAGGTAACATTAGCTATTTTATGGATTTCAAAAATCTCAAAGCAATTGTAGATTAAAACTGTTAGTAACCTGTCACATTTCCAAACCTTATGTATAAAATAGACAAAATGCAGTGTAATAGATAAATATGCTAACCAGAATTAATGGTTTGAGGATATTTCATTTTAGATCCTGTAGTAATCAGGGGGAAATGGGATTATATTATTGTTTTACACATAAGTTCTTTAAGGTCAGAGCTATGATAATGTCCTTGATTTTGCATTTTTTTTAAGTCTTCCACTCATTTTGAGATGAGTCTGCAAGTCAAAAAAGTCTTGTCACCTTAAATTATATGAAGAACTTCATTTTAAACCTCTTAACATTTACATTATTTTTCATAAACTTCTTTGGAAATTGTTTTACTAATTGCTTTGAAACTTGGGCCTATTTCCTCAGTTTCAAATTTAACCTCTGAAATACTTAGGAAATAATCTTGAAAGTTAGGAAAAAATATTTGTTCTAGAAATCTGACATGAGCACAATCTGTGTGTTACACACATAGTTTTTATACTGTATACATAGTAGATGTGCTACATTTTCCAGTAAAATGTATCACAAGGTAATGCCTTCTGAATCTCAACATGCTTCTTAGAAATAAAACAGTGTACGACCAAGAAACACATACAAAATACAGCTAAATCTTGATGCATTTCACAATATAAAAGGCTGAAACTTCATAATTATCTTTTCCTTATATCTTTGTTTTAAGTCAAAAAGTCTAAAGTTTTCTGTTGTTTTTGGCCTGACTTGTGAAAAAGGTTATGGCAATACTTTTAAAATTTCACTTTGTTAGACTGTGTTTGTGCTTGGAGGGGCTCACAAAGAGAATTTAAAAGGCAGATTTTTGTTAACTCTTTAAAAATGGTTGGCACAGACCGTTACCCTAAACCAGAAACTGAATTTACGCCCCAGCTACAGAAATTATTTTGCTGCGCTGTCAAATGCAGTTCCCTGACATCCCTAAGAAATTTTTAGATTTCTTGTAAACTTGTCACATCTAGGTCAGTGATTACTTATGGAAGCTGATTTTAATTAACTCAAAATAAATTGAGAGTGCATTTTAAAAACCACAAGTGAGACCTGGATGTTTTTGGGTCCCCAGACAAAACTTGCAGCCTTAAATGAGTTTTATATACATGATCTCATTAAATTTGGCTTGTTGCCTCATCTTATGTAGTGTCACTGTTTTCCAAGGAACTATATAGGAAGCAATTATGGAATTGAGAATACTTTTATATAAAATTCCTTTATTTAATGTTAATATATTAACACTTTTATTGAAATGCAATGGAATATGTGCCAAAACATGTGAAAACCTTGCATAAAGAAGGGCATCAGTTATATGGGGAAAGGTACACGTTTTATGATGGTCCTGAGAATGTGGTATTACTATTAGAACCACAGACTTCTTCATATATATTCAACTATGGTTTTCTAAGTATGGGACTACTTTCATGTCTAGTAATACACTAATCCCTAGTTAATTATCCCCTGAGTCAGGTTGTGGAATTTGTAAGAAACGAGGTATAGAAAAATTTACAGGCAAAAATATACAGGTGGTTAGTTTCACAAACTTGGGGTGCTAAAATAAGATAAACTCCTTATACAAATAGCCTATAGGAATAATCATCTGAATCTGCAAAATTGGAGAATAAAACTAAATTAAGTTTTCCTTTAATCTCTTGTTTCTTAAGCGACAAACTAAAAGAACTTTACTTCCATAAAAGATTTTGTAATCTGTTTTCTCTGCTTTAGGTATCATAGATGTACAAGGGTCAAGGAACCTTGGATCTAAAGAAGGCCTGTGCTTTATTTATATATATCACTTTAATGGAAGTAATCACATTAGTTAATAGAAAAATCCAAATATGGCCCTTTCTCCAGATTAACAGAATACTTTTAAGTATAAAAACAAATAAATTAAAGATTCACTGATGAGGTAGTATTAGGTCATTCAGTCTGAGGTCCAGATAGCTTGGGGTGATGTCTTTTAACTACTTTTAGAAAAGTATTTTTCTTTATCCATTAAAAATCTGTCCCATATTAATATGCCACATTTTATAAATGTAATGAGTTTGCTCAACTACGTGTAACTTAAAATGATTCTTTAAGGGAAAAAAAGTATGTTATATAATATTGTGAACTGTTTAGCTTTATTGAACTATTTAAAAGAGAAAGTGCCTCATTGCTAAAGTGCATTTCTGTTTTAGATTTACTGCATAAATTTTGAGTTTTCTGTCCCTGTCTCTTATCAATGGTTTTGTATCTAAATAGGCTCTTGTAAGTTAGAATAATCTCTTTTTGAAAGATTTTCATAAGAAAATAGTTATCACCAAAGACATTTTACTGTTAATAACCATGTTAGAGAGACAGTTTAACTGTTTGGAGGTTGGAAATTTTTAGACTGCAAGTTACTTTTATATAATTAGGCAATAACCTTGAGTAATTGCTAAAATATCACCAAAGAAAGGTTTTAAACTTAATTTTCATGGTAAGATCAATCAAATGCAGGTTTTTCTTGCAATAATCAGAACATACTTCCTTTCAGCCATGTTTCTTGTTTTTCCAGCACCATCTGACAGATCTTAGGAAATCCTCAAAGGTGAAAAAGAGATTAACACAACAAATAGCCTCCCTCTGGATGAAAAGTGGGAGAAATACATACTTTGAAAAGAAAATTGAAATTGAGATTTTAAATTCTAATTTGAGAAGCTTTTTATTCCATGGAGGCGATACAGACTAAAATTATGCTTATTTAGTTCCTGGGTTCTTAGTAATGTGAGAAATTTTATTAAAGACAGACTTTGGTAAAAGTGCGGACATGCTTACTTGTAATAGAATATAGTGCATTCTGTTGGATTCACATAAGTAAATGCTTTTTCTGTATTCAAAAGCAAAATTTTCCTAAAGGCCTGTGGTTTTTTTTTTAAAGTAACTCTTTGTCTTGTTTCTCAGCAGTGACTTTGTTTTTAGAATCTAGCCATACAGCCAAATTCGGCAAGATAAGCCCCAGATGAAGAGCATATACACCAGGTTAAGCCCTGTCCTTACACCGATCTTTTGGGGAGCCCATGCTGTGGGCCACCTCAAGTGAAGCTCACATTATGAAGTCTTCCTGACAGGCCACCTGGTAAACCGCATTGGATCGGATAAAGGTGGATGCACTCCATTATATACTCTGGTTTACCATAAGGAATTTTCCAGCAGGCTATGCTTTTTATACCAGTGAGATATAGATATTGGTTGTGGGAATTAACAAAAATGAGTGAGTTTGCCATAACTTTAATTTTCTGGGTTAGAAAACATGAAATGCTATTATTTTAAGATATATACCTATCCCTACAATAAGGAATATAACATGTCTGCCAGATCTGGTTTATAAAAATTGAAAAATATTGAATATACTAGAAACTCAAACCCTTTGAAAGCACAAAATAACCAACTAATTCTGGATTTACTTGATATACCTAGTTCAATAGTATTTTGTTGAAAAAAGTTCAGATTGAAAGTTCATTAAAATGTACTCAAATATACATTACAGGGTTTTCATAGTTTTTTCTTAAAACAGTGGCATTTTCCCAAATAATTTAAAAGTGATTCTCTTCCTAATGTAACGTAGTTTTCACAAGTAGTGTGTTTATTTGCTATCCTTACTATATTTTCAAATAGAATTAAAATGCTCGAGCACTTCCTTTTCAGAAAGTTACAAAATTAAACAAAAATAAATTATTTTAAATGCTCATTAGAATGTGTCTGAATACTTGTTATGCCCCTTTCTCTAGGATTCAAAACTTGAGTCATTATTCAGAAATGCTTTTTAATTTTAATTACCTTTAAATCTAGAATCAAGTGAAACATATTAAATACTGGGTCCAGTTTTCTTCCATCGTTCAGAGCTTCATGGAATAAGAAACTAATCTAGTACAAACTGAAGATTAAATATTTCTGGGCAGTGCAGAGATAGTGAACAGATTATGTATCCGTGGACTTCACATCAGTCCAGCAGAGCAGGAGTTCTGCACATTCGAAATGGAATGGGATCAGCCTAACGTTGTTTGGGGTTGGTTTTCTTTCGCTGTATTTTTTTGAATGGGGATGGGGGCCCAAGTGTCCTTATGAAGCTGTGGTCGGCAAGAGCTTGTGGGGGGAGCACCAGTGTTCTGCTGCGTTCCTGCATCTGGCAGCACAACAGCAAGCACCAGTTTTTAATAGAGTAGCCCTCACTTTAAATAAAACCATCATAGACTATATTGTACAGTTATGTTGCTAATTTTCCTTTGAAATATAAAATATTTTAAGTTTTTTTTTTTTTTTTTTTTTGGTCAAAAGGGGTAACATCTTAATACAAATAAAAACCTTTTTGTGGTTGTAAGATTTAGCTTATAAATCATTCAAATTGAAGTGAAAGATTACCAGGTCATTGTTAATGACTTAGTCTATTAAGAATATATGTATTTTTGTAAAGGAAAAGCACTTGTAGATATTTAATCAGTACTATATGTCTGTTTTGCAGAAATAAAATGCTGCTTAGAGATTCTCTTTAAATATTTTTTATTTTTGTGCTCAACTGTATTTTCTGTCGATCTATGGAATGTTCTGTACAAAGCTGTATGGTTGTACTGTTGGGCTAGACACTTTTGTTTTTTAAGGTCTGGACTTAGCCAAGTATATTTGACCATGTTAAAAATAGTATCTTTGTTATTAAAATTTTGATTGCATAATTTATTGCTGTCTCTCATTCTTCATTATCAGTAGTTGCAGATCATAACCTTCATTTAAAAGTTTCCATTAAGTATTACTGTAGCAAATTTTATGAATGTTTGTTGAATATTTGAGACGATAAACATTTTCTAAAGATTTCTGAACTGTTTACTTGTAAGATGGCAGACTGGCCCTCGAATAACACTTGAGGTGTGTGTCCACATACACTTTAGAACAATTTCTTTTTTTGTTAAATTAATCTAATCCGTATCATCTTCTGAAAGTAATTGAGTACCAAAGAAAGGCCCAAGTGATTTGAAAGACAGACTGCTTTCTTCAGCTACTTAGATAACAGCTTTGTTTTATTAATAACTTGCCTGGGGAATTCTAGTTGGGCTGAAGATGGACATTCAAGTCAGAAGGTTGTGATGATTCATATCTCTGCCCCACTGTTACAGTGCCTGAAGCTTTGTCTTAGGTTAGTGATACCATGGAGGTGGCTGGAGACCCCAGGCGTTCAGCGAGGTCAGGTCGGAAAGCAACATCCTCTGAGCAAAACTCCCTTCACCTTTTAGCATCACCCTTCGCAAGGCTGTTGCAGAGTGGGAAAGAACTTGGGAGGACTGTACATGGAAAGTGCTCAAAACGTAGCCCATTTTACTTTTACCCTGTGTCAGGGGCCAGAACAGGGGAAGGCCTCAGGGAAGGCTGGAGGACACAACCAAGGAAAAAAGGAAACCGTTTTCTGCTAATCAGTCTCTGCCACGCCTCCACTTGAGAACAGAGCCAGTTTACCCAGTTCTTAGTGTTTTGTCAACACAGGCTCAGCTCTGATCTTTTCACCAGTTTAGAAAGTCATGGAGGAGTCTGCACCCCAGGTGAGTTTAAGAGCCAGCCTCTGCTTGTTGTGTGGCCAAGGAA